GCTTTAGGGGTGACTTAATGCAAAATAGGTTACTGCCATGGTCAATTAGTCTTGTTTTCCCGCAGTAGTACCTTTTGAAGGCATTTTTCAAATGAAGTGTATAGATCTCTAGATTCTAGATAGAATCTAGTCCGGAAACGTTGCCCCAACCACAACTGAAGTATCTGAATATTCAGACATTTAAAAATCTCTAGCTCTAGAAATTGAATTCGAAGCAAAAAATGCTTCTTCCCAGTCCTAATGACAGAATGAAAGATAACGCCTCCTAAAGTCTAAAGGTTCCTCCTAAATCTCGCTAAACCATTCGGAGAAAAAGAGATCAAGTTTATTTTCCCGAGTGTTCGGAAAAATAGTCACTTGGAAAATGAAAAGCGAAATACACAAAATAAGCATCATAACAGCCCAACCTGTTCTCCTTGTCAAGTGGACTTGGGTCCTTCTTAGCGAGCTGTTTCACTTTGTTCAAGTCGCCGTTCCAAGCAGCCTTGTGAAGTTTACCCAAATCCTTTTCTCTCACGTCATAACCAATATTCAAAGATGCAACTGAACCTCTTGTTGATCCTGATTTTGGGGAAGCCTCGCCGCTTCGAGCAGGCGATCCTTTTCGAACTTTCCTCCACAACTTTTTCATCTTGACTGTCGTAACTAAGAACGCTTTCCAGTTTGAATGCCGAGTCAATGAGTCTCCGCCATTTTCACAGCTCAACTAAGGGCGATTATGCGCGCATTCTTTCCAATGTAATAATGTTGACATGTGGGTGGAGCCCCTTTACAGGAAGTTTTTCAATTTTCAATTTCAATAATGGCAGCCACCAGTACAACGAACGACACCCAGACCCACACTCCAGAGAAAGTGAAAAATCTCTTGTCTTCGTTCTTGGCTTCCTCTGAACAGACACGAACGGAAGCAATAACGTAAGTCCCCTTGCCTTTCGCCCTTAAAATGTTGGCCGGCTCTATTTCTCCAAACGTTCGGGAAAATAACTTACACTAGATGTAGTTACACTGACACTTTACTTTATTTCTCCGAACGGTTTCCGTTCTCAAGATTTGTTGATAATAAAGCGAATGGAGTGGCCTCTATTGTGTGAGTGTGTGTGTGTGTGTGTGTCAGTGAGTGTGTGTGTGTGTGTCAGTGTGTGTGTAAGGTGTGAACGGGGGTGGGGGACGTGGAGGGATTTGTTTTTCTAAGGCAAGGCAAGGCCTTTGTTTTTTTAAGTGGGGTAAGAGTAAGAGTGAAGAATAGCGGACCAGCGGACTGGGACTACTTTTGCCTCTATTAAAGACTATTATGTCATGTCTCAACCGCTGGTATTTTAGGAGTTCAGCACAGTTAAAAGAGCGGTTAATGGCTTTTTTTTTTAATCGTAATGCTATTTTTATAATGAATGGAAGGGAAATTGTGATGAAAAACTATTAGTAATAGTATTACAATTTCGGGGTGAGAATAGTGCAGGCGAGTCTTTTTGGCTATTCATATTCTCACCCGGTGCGCGTTCACCGTTATAGCCTAGATCTAGGCCAACAAATTTTGCGTTCACCCTAAACCACAGAATTCTGCACTGTGATAACAGAAAAATTGTAGAATTCTGTGCAGTGAACAAACATTCCATTACAACTGTGGCCTACTAAAAGCGTACAATTTTGTCTGTGGGCAGTGGAGAGAAAGAGAGAGAGGAGTAGCGCGAGAACTTCCAGTCAAAACAAAATGGCGACCCGCGTAGTTCGGCTCGATTCGAACAGTGAAATAGCCGTAGCATCTTTGAAGACGATCAAATTAGCTTACTTTTGTGCTATAACGTAATTTTTTCTTGGCTTTTATCAATTTGATCATCCACGCCGATAGACAGTATTCCAAAATGAGGAAAAGCAGGTCTTGTTTCGCAGCGGGTGAGAATAGCCTAAGCTGGCAAGTCTCACCCGGGGTGAGAGGTAGATCGTTTTTCTATTCTCACCCCGGATGAGAATAGCCACTTCCATTTTTAATGGAATTTAGCAGGAACTAATTTGTGTAGTTAGCACAGCATCCTTTTCTCAACCGTACCGTGGTCCGGGATACTTCATTTATACGGTCTCTGGGCCTACCTAGTTCGGGAAACTTTATAAAGGGCGTGAGCCTGGCTACCCGGGAAGCTCACAGGCCCTATATATATATATAGATCTATAGGGATGACCTACTTCGATTAGGAAGCACGCAGCTATAAAGGGCATAGATGCTGACTTTTTTTCAATGGAAAATTTCAGCATTCCTTACATGGAAAATGACGTAGTAAATTACAGGTCAAAGTTATAAATAGTGACCAATGACTTTGCAAGTTATCTTGACCTCGTAGAGCGTCTCTTGGCCAAAGATCGTACTAAACAAAATAGTTCACTCAGCCAAAAAGGTGTCCGCAGAAGTCCACACATTGGTTCAGATTTCGCTGCAGTCTTTGTTTTTAAGCTCTCTTTCGTTTCACCAGAAGAAGAATAGGAATAGCACAGTTTGTTAATTTCACTTTTTCGAAGAGGGTGCCACTGAATATTGAGGACACTTTTTTTTTAATTGGCTCAATTATAGAGGCGTGAACTATCTTGTTATACACAATCTTTATGTAGACCTAGAAACTGAAAAAAGGAAGATATCTACAAGTCACAGTCACAGTACAGATTTAGGCCCCAATAGCGCAGGCAGGCCTTTGATAGGCCAACCAGTGTAGCGTTCTCTGTGAACAAACGTTCCAGCGCTCTTGTGTTGAAAGCGTGCAATTTTGTCTGTGGGCAGTGAGAGAGAAAGAGAGAGAGGGGATGAGAGAGAGAGGAATAGCGCGAGAACTTCCCAGCAAAACATAATGGCGACCCTGCGTAGTTCGGCTCGATTCGAAAAGTGAAATTGCCGTAGCATCTTTGTAGACGACCAAATTAATTTACTTTTGTGTTTTAACATCATTTCTTTATCTTCGTTTTTGTCAATTTGATCATCCACACCGATAGAGGGTATTCAGAAATTAAAGAAAAACAGGTCTTGTTTCACACCGGGTGAGAATAGCCAATACTGGCAGTCTCACTCGTGGTGAGAGGTCGATTGTATTTTTATTCTCACCCCGGATGAGAATAGCCACTGTCTGGGAATAATGGCAGCCAAAGAACAAATCACTCTGTTTCATCTCACACTCACACATCTTTGAATCTTTGCATGCAGGGCTAAAAGTTGGATGATATGACCATCACTAACAACAGAATTTTAAAGATAACGGTAAAATAAGCCCGTTAATAATGATTGAATGGAGGTCATTGGCTGGCAACTGCAAACTAAGACTAAGGGTACCTTGTGTTATGTTGGGTTAGTGTGGTGTCACTGTCTCAAAACGAGCAATTTGTAGACTAGGTTAATTCAGTTATCCTGCGAATGCTCCCAAAAAACATTGTTTGTTATAGAGCTAAGAAAACATTTTTTTTTTAGGTTTTAGGCCAACAGAATAATGCTATGCAAAGGTATGTGTGCACAGTGGCAAATTAATAAATGAGCTGGAGTTTTTTTAACACTCGACAGACAAAAGTGAACAAGCTAGAGCACTAGAACCATATATTCTGCCACCCTCCAACTGTATTTTCCCATAACTGGAAAAATTGTGTTGAGGAATGTTATGTTATCAGATTTGAAAATGGCTCTTTCTGGTGATTACCTCTGTGGTCTCTCTCTCTCTCTTTCTCTCTCTCTCTCTCTCTCTCTCTCTCTCTCTCTCTCTCTCTCTCTCTCTTTCTTCTGGCGCTGTGGCGTCATAAACGGTCAGCAATGCCGACATCACGCAGGAACTCAACACTTGCCCAGGGATCCTTTAAAAGAGCTGAAAGTGGGTGATCTGTGGTCTAGTAGGGGAACACTGAAGAAGAAAAGACAGATTTCACGCCATGATTCCAAAGCCATTTAGAAGGAATAAATTTTGCATACTTTCTGATCTTTTTATTGAAAGCTGTTGTTTGAGAACTGCACATTCACTTAATTTCTTTGTTTCTGTCTAACTCAGTCGAGGAAATGCAAGTGTGCAAGGTGAAAAGACTTTTCCAAGTGATGGAACTGCATACGACCTCCGACCCCGACTTGCCTGCTCAACCAGTGTCCTAAGGAGTTATGACAGCTATCTGCAGAGATTAGACACATTTTCAATATCCTTGCTCTGTTGTGAAATGTAGTAACTATACTTTACCTTGTTAACTACAGCTTTTTGGGTTTTTTTATTTTATTGAGAATGAATGGAGCTGAGTAGATCTAGTATAATTACCTGATGGCCTTCTTAGTGATTCTACTTTTATCTTTTTAACTTTTTCAATACTCTTAGAATAGGGAACCAATTCCAAGCTCACAAAAAGGTATTGTATTCACTTGCTATTCATGTGGAGAAAATCGTAGAAACAGTGCTTTATACATATCATGTTACAAAATTCCATTTCACGTAATAATTTTATTCTGTACTAGTGTTGACCTTAACCTTCATCACTCTCTCACTTGGTTCAACAAGCCGGCAGAGCTTAACCCCCTTATCTGTGCTCGCTATGGCTGGGAGAACATTGACACTGACATGCTACAATGTGTCGGGTGCAAAGCTTTCCTCTGTGGTCAGCTCCCAGTCAAGACAAATCCTGAAGTGTGTAAGTATGAAGCACTTTTGTTGTGGTCAAGAATTTATTGGACAATGTGTTAATATAACATGACTGTGTTTTAAGGAGCCGTTTCATTTGTCATGACGAAATGTTCAAACTGTTTTATATTGTTGTTGTTGTTGTTGTTACTGTTGAGGTGCAACCACATTAACCCTTTGTTTTTCAGATTTGGACAAATTGAGTACTCAGTGTAAGACTCTGCAATAAGCATCACTTTTTAAAATGGCATACTTACACACACAGTCAAAATACAGATTTAAGAGGGAGTGATGGACACAGTTCTCCAACAACCCACTGATTCATGTAATAATGTGACCGAAGAAAGACTATTCTTACAGTTTCAAGACAAGGGATAGCTTGAACTTAGTTCCCTATATGTGCCCGTAGGCCCCTTTCTGCAAAATACAGTTTACTGTCTCCTGATTATGGCTTTCTTCATTCTTAGCGTCCTTGTCAGTGCCACCCTTGGACCCTTTCTTGACCTTTATCTGACTAGGTAATGTCTATGGGTTCTGAAAAAAACCCACCAGTTTCTTTAACTTATGTGTTTGCATACATTGTGAAAATTTAAGAACATTTTCTCGTGTTCTTATAGGAAGACTTCACGCTCTTAAACAGTTGGCTCAGCGCACAAGACGAGGATTTTCCCTACATAAATAAATGGACCACCTTCAGTAACCATGTTTTAAGGGAATTTTTTTCATCCTTTTTCTTGTCTACTTTATCTCTCTCCAGATGAGGAAAGCCTGTCCAAGCTGAAAAAGAACTTGCTGGCTGCACATGACAAGTTCTGTGCCCTTGCAGTCAATCCCTGTCCAGGTTTGTTACAAACAAGTCACATTTTTTCCAGTTTTCTCTTTCAGCCAGGCCTCTGGAGTAGAAGCCTTATTAAGGCATCTCCCCTGTGAGTCTCAGTGCCACCCCCCCCCCCAACCAGGATCCTTCCTTCTTTGGCCTGGTTTTCTAGTATTCTCATATTTTTAGACTACTAAAACATCCTTCATCATTAATAGTCTCAGACCATGTGAATGTGTGGATTTATAAGCTTTTTTTTGTTGGCTTTTTTTTTACATACTTCTAAGCTGGTATATTATTTCTTTAAAAACATAAGCAGCTTTGCTTTGTGCTGTATTTCTTTTCATTTGACCCCTGTACAGAAGCAGTTTAAGTGAAAGCTTGTCTGCTTCTTAGTTTTTCTTTCTGTGGTAAATTTTGTAGTAAAAACATTCTTGATTTGTGACTGTCATGGTAAGTACATTGTTATAGAAGTCTGATGGGAGAAGATGTGTAAGGACTGACTATAAAGTCTGCAGGGTGTATTCGGCTTTCTTGTTGTTTTTCCTTTTCATTTTTCTGTGGTGTATTATAAAAGGTGGGGGGGGGGGGGGTCAGTTTTGTGTTTTCTTTTGGGTATGAAGAATTTTCTCAAATACTTGCTCAGCTCTTTAGTTTCGTCAATTTTGTTTTTGTGGAATAAACTTGAAGCATATAGGATAGTTGGGGGGGTTTTGGGGGGTTTTTGTATGAAAAGTATGAAAGCATTTGACTGTTGGGAAGAATTCCACACGCTTCTTTGTGTCCACAGTGAGTGGTTGGCAAGCACTTCTGTAGTGGGGGCTTCCTCCTTCTAGCACTTTCATTGTTGTCAGAATCTTTATAAGTTCCTATCTGAATGCGCATCTCAATGGGTGTACTGTCGTCAGTAACTTGTAACTGAACAATGGAATTCTTTTTATTTGCAGAAAGTTTTTGTCGTGTCCCACTCCATGATCCTACCAATCTCACAGCTGAGTATACTGAACGAGCCTCCAAGTTGTCTCAGATTCAGGAACGGCTCCCCGTTATCGATTACACAAGGTTACACGAGCTGGTAGGTGCTTTCTTTGTCGGTAAGATTCTGTCGACTTTAGAGTATTCCTTACTGTCTTCTGTGTTTCAGTTCAAATGAAGGAGGTGAATTTAAAAGAACGAATGATTCTGTTTTGTAACGGATCCATTGTAAAATCAGCTTCTATTTGCTGTGTATCTCAAATCTTTTATGGTGTGTATCTATTACTAAAATTTATTGATTGCCTAGAAAATCATAATTTTAGTTAAACGAACGAAGATGCTGTTAGGGGCCACAATCCCTCCTCAGCTTTGTCGTGATGTGCTTTTTGTTTGCTTTTGGACATTTGTGCCATATGCTGACAAATGAGTGTGATACGCATAGGAGATGTTTCATTTTGCTTTTCAACTCGACCGGAAATCATTTTCTATCGTATTGCCCAAAAGTCACAACAGTGGTCATATGAGACTGGTGAAAATAATGTGGGAAGTAAGAAAGCATTGGAGTCATTCTTTTCGTGAGTTTTGTACAATGCTGTGTCTGTCTTTGACAGGAAATCTCAGCATTTCGACTGCTTAGTGTAAGATGTCGCCAAACGCCATTTTGGAAAATGACGTATGACAGAGTGTTACACTGAGCAGTCGATTTTTGCTTTTTGTTTACGTCCTGTTTGTGATTATATTGTGACTGCTGGCGCCCTCCTCCTACAGGAATATGATGAGGGTCAAGGGGCAGCTTACTGCAAGAAACACCTCATGCCGGACAGTGACGTGTCCCCTCAAGCAGTCACGTTGGCTTTCACCGGATGGACCACCAGGTGAATTTCTCTACCGCTCTCATTCTGCTTTGGTTAATTGCTGAAAGGAAATTTGGCAATCCTGAATGTAACTGTCGAAAGTGTAAGGGAGAATTAGAACAACTGACCAAAATGAAGAAGGCCAGGCACTTTCAGAAAAGCCTTTTGCTGAGCTTGAGAAGGATTGCTCTTATGGGTTACTGATCTTTGGATGAATTGTTACATTGTTACTAGAATGTCCATTAGAGTGAAAGCACTGCGGTTGTGTTCTAATTACAATTCTCAGTAATTTAAGGCAATTATTATATGGTTCTAATAACAATTCTCTGGAATTTAAGGCAATTATTAGGTTGTGTGCTTGATTCCTGAACACACATGGTCTAGTCTTTCTACAAAAGACACACAATGGGCAAAAGTTGCTGAAAGACATTGAAGACAAAGTACTGAAATTCCAATTACAAAGACAGTCAATGTGAAAACAACTGGTAGTGAGAAGCAACATCTTACTGTGGTGTAATCATTTCCTGCTGAAGGTCATAAACTAAAGCCAATGTTGATTTTTTAAAAGAGACTTTGCAAGCTCGCTGAATATTGATGTTTTACAGCAACAGGACTAGATTTTAAGCCAAGATGCCAGTGTATGGATGTATACTGCATGCTGAAGAGGTGTCAGATGAAAGTTGTACAGTCGTCTAATATGTGTTTGTGTTGCATGTTATTATTTGATAAGAAACACCATGGTACTGCGAGAAACCTTGACTTCATGCGAAGGATTGGTGAAAATTTCAAGCAAAAGAGGGATAACTTCGGCAAGGAAGGAGGATTCTTACATAACATATGACACATTATTAATGAACCACGAGGTTAAGATAACAGCATGCTCTTATCAGTTTCTGCAACAGGAAATATAGATTTACCTCATCAAATCAACACAATAACACTCACACCCAAATCTGTGTACGTATGATATTTTTGTTGCAGGAAAGTTATCTCAGCCTTGTGTGGTTTTAATTTTTTTTTTCTTTGCCTGCCCTTCCAACCTGGGTTTAGAACATTCCCTTGGTTCCCTTTCCATGTCATTGGGTTTAAATTGTATTTTATTCCTATCACAGTTCACAGAATGTCCTTGTGTGTTGTATGTGCCGCCGACAAGTTGGCCTCTGGAATTATGCCCAAGAGTCTTCCAGAGGGCTGGCTCCAGATTCCACTACAAAGGAGAGCAGCGATGAGGATGAAGAGAGTAAGGAAAGTGGTGAACCTGAAGCTAAGAAAAGAAAAATGAAGGTAAGAGAACAAATGTTTGGGGTTTTTTTTTAAAGATTGATATATACTAGAAAGAGATATGTGTGGTCGGTGAACACAGGTTCACAATAGATGTCAAGCAATGTTAGTGAAGTGGTTTTTGTAAATGAGTGGCTACACCACAGATGCCAGTAAAGATAGGTTTAATGTGTTGAAAGGGGCGTTGAACCTCTATGTCATATATTATCAATGTGGTAGGCTGTTGACTGGGTACTATTCCTCTGCATATCTGTATCTGTAAAGAGTATTTTTGTGGCAGCATTTGAAAATCAAAAGACTAGCCAGAAAAAATACTTTCTGATGTAAAGGCCTTTCTGTAATGTGTAGTTTTTGTGGGCTTTCTGAGTTTTTACATTTTCAAAATGGTTTGTGGTTTGTTTTTGTTGTTTTTTATATTTTTTAATGGAAGGAGACAAATTTGAGAAAAGCAATGTCAAAATTTCTAGACCATTTTTTTATTGTACAAAGCATAGACAACACTTTCAACTGTTGTGCCGACTTTCTTTTACCCAGCCAGTGTATTTCTTTTCATTAGTATAATTAATGTATGATACACTCGAACCTGCTCATACAGCCACCTGTCCAAGACAGTTACCTATGCACTTCATAACAGTTCCGACTTGGATTTTTTTCAGGTAATATTAACAATTGCATATAGCGTTTATCCACACGTTACAGCATGCTCTATGCACTTTATAACTGTTCATGTCTTGCATTTTTTCAGGTGTCTATAAAGCAGAAGTTTGACCCCATAGAAGAGCACTGGCACTGGTGCCCCTGGGTAACAGAGACAGAAGTGCCGTGTAGCTCGCCTCCGTCGGGACAGCAGGCCGCCCCAGCTCAGAGACAAAAGTCCCTGGCATTTATCACAGCCATCAAAGTCACAGCTCCAGGACTCATGGATAACAACACTGGCCTGGCTCATGCCATGAAAACTGTAAGTATATTTAGTAGGCTCACAGTGGTCATTTATACTGTGGGCAGTTAATTTCTTTATGACATAAAAAATAGCCATCAAAACTCGGATCTGTTTTGATTGTTCATGACAGCCACTCATTGTTGAGGGGGAAAAAATAAATGTTGTAGACAGGTTGACGAAGTTGATGTAATGTGCCTGCCTCTCATGTCAAAGAAGTATTTGAATCTAGGGTTGGTGTTTGCATGGTTTGTATGCCTGGGTTTCCCCTGAATTATTCATACTGGTAATCATCACAGGGTTGATCTATTAGTCTTCTCTCACTCACAGAAGAAAGAAAGACTTGGAGTGAGCTTCTTTCCTGTCTAGGGAGAAATTGACTTTTTGCCTCCTCTGCAAAGACAATATTGTTGAGGAGAGAAATTTATTCTTACCCAGCCATGTAGCACAAAGCACATCTTATTACGTCTACTCATTTATCTGGTCAAGAATTTCTTTTCGATACAATGTTCACATTGTATGCAATTCATATGTATGCATTCTGTATGTGAAAAATGTGTACTTTTTCTTTCACTTTCAGGACACTTTACTTTGTACTTTTCATGTACATTTTTGCTATCTTCTAACATTTCTTTTCTACTTTTCAGAGTCCAATGGTTGAAGGCCTGCGATGTTTCAGACGTGTTATGAAGTCCTGGTCATCTCCTAAACTGTTGTCAGCTGGAAATTCTCCGACCTGAATCTATCATTCAAATATTTTTACGTCAAGGGTCCTAATTGTCATCTTCATATTATATTGTCTGAAGTCTCTCTTTTCTTATGTTGAGTTGTTCATTGTCCTTTTTGTACTTGTGGTTGTTCAAATACATTAAAAGTGGAGAGAGAAAAGTAATGCTGTTTTTGTGTTCACTTATTTTCTACTGGGCGGAACATATACAGTCAAACACTGTTATACCGCCTACCTTGGGATGAGCATAAAGTTGACGGTACAGTGGGGCTGGCGGACTATAACGTGATAGCAACAATTGCTATCTTGACTAGTGGTAGATTGGAAAGGGCAAGAGACTAGAGACAAAGTGTGGCCAGCCTTGCCTCATCTAGATCTGTCTTGAGCATGGAAATGTCAACAAGAAGCAACCATTCACATGTAAAGCTCCACTGTGAATTCAAATTGAAAAGCTAGGATCAGAAGCTGGGCTATATGGCCAAGGACATCGTAGACATACTGTTTTTTATATAGCCTACTGATATTCATTAGTCATTGGGCTGCCTTAGACCTCTCCTGTAGACTTGAGCGTGAGCCCTCACAGTATAAATAAAGCCTCACACACTGGATACCTGGCACAGCCAGACATTTAGCCAGTACGCCAAGGTGGCGAAGTTGCTTTGAAGTTTCTTCAGGCAACTTTAAAATTTCCTTCCAATTTTTATTTAAATATTGGCTGAAGCTTAAAATTAATAACATTATCATAATCAGCACAAATCAGGAGCAAATTGATGACAAGCTTTAGAAATAGCCCAAGTTTGCAGAGACGTGTGTTGAAGTTGAAAAGAGATTATCAAGCAGCCACAGAGTTGGTGCCGTGTGTAGTGTGTACCTCTCTGATGGTATATCCGGGCAAATTTTCATTTAGTTTAATAAGGACAGAGCAACTTGATTGGACAGTTGGCGGTGTAAGTGCGTAAATACTATGTTTACTTAGGCTTTCCTTTTCTTTGGCAAAACCTGGTGGTACAACAAGGTTTGACTATATGTGAGGCGCGCTGACAAAATGAGGTGCTCCTTGCAATCCACAAATGGAGATATTGGCCAAAAATTGACAAACGGGTCAAATTTGTTGATTTTTTAATGATGCCGTATTCTTTTTAAAACTAAAATATGCCTTTTATCATTTCATACTTTTATAAATTGTAAAAGCTTCACCTATAGGCGAGGCGTATCCTTTTCCATAAGGCTCGAATCCGAGAAATAACTCATTTTGTCAGCACACCACATATGGTATGTCTTTTGTCAATATTATTATATCAATCTGTCTTTCGCTCTCCTACACATATAAACACACAGCCACACACAGTGTAAATCAGATACAGCGCAGAAAAAAAGCTGTCTTAGACAACAGTAAAAAGCTGTCATCTCTTCTAGCTATAGGGAGTTACTTGAAGAGAAGCTTCCAATTTAATATGGGATTGACAGAGTCAGTCTGCATTATAAAGGTCAGTGTGTCTGGAACAGACTGTAGAAATGCTGGTGGTTGGTTGGCGGGCGCTCTGGTGTGGTTTGCTTCTTCCTTCCAATCCAACGTCTATCGTCCTTATCTCTCCTTTTTTATGTTTGTAGTAACTGTCTTGTAACACCTCTAATCTTCAGCACTTATATGACTTAATTACAGTATAACACGGATAGCTCGAATTTGCCGGAACCGACCTCGGTAGTTCGAGGGATCCGTAGTTTGAGGTATATATTACAAAGATTTTTTTTTTTTAAAGGAACTGCAGGCACAGTTCGACGGATGTGTGATTTCGAGTCTTCTGTGTTCGACCTATCCGTGTTATACTGTAGTGTGCTTCAAGTGCCGTAAAACTCTTATTAAAACAAACAAATTAATTCTGAATAGAAGCAGAAGCAGACCACAACAAAATTATAGGTTTGAGCAAGTCGCTAATATAATAAGGATCACATTTTGTCTAGAACAGACTACAGAAATATTAGAAACAAATATTAAGGTAATAATAAGTATGGATCCAGACCATGGCACTTGCCTGAGCATCAAGGACATTTTAAAAAACTGACTTTATGAAAGATGTATCAATAATTCCTTTTTATTGTTAAGGGAGATGGATGTACCATGTAACTCTCATTGTGAGAGATTAATATTCGTCTGACTCTCTTTAAGAAGAGACTTTCTTGATGGAATATGCATTTTGTCAGGTTTTGATACATCATTGATAGAACAAATGCTGGAAAAAAATAGAAGAAACAGACCACAATGCCCACAAGACCCATTTTTCAACGCTGTACATTAAGAGAGTCTGACAAATTTATCTGGCTTTCTTAAAGAGATTCGGAACAATTATATGCAGTTTATCCATCTCCCATAAAGTAAAGAGATAAACTGTATGCTCGGTAGCCTTCTTCTTTTTGTATATGACATGACATGACATTGGTTCAACAAGTCTGACCCTCTTTATGGGAGACGGAACTTTCTAGATGAAAGATGGACAAGCAGTCCGACTCTTCATGGAGATGGATAAACTCTCAAACTCCCAAAATGGCAGGTGGATAAACTGACTGTCTCAATGGGTGATGGATAAACTGTCTGGTCCTCTATGGGAGACAGATAATCTAATTTTCTTTATATGGGAGACAGAACTTTCTAGATCGAAGACGAATAAAATCCGACTCTTTAAGTGGGAGACGGATAAACTGTGACTGTGATACTATTGATGGGAGATGGCCAAACTCAAATTATCAGTCTTTTTATGGGACGAACTCGCTTTATGGGGAATGGCCCTATTTAAATGGAGAACTCTACGAGACTCACTATATGGGGAATAAAAATTTCTAAAAGGAGGACTCTTAACACACGTGATGCCGATCGGTGACAGTAAGAAGCCGTCCCTTTTCCTCATGGGACGCCGGTGTTATATACTCGTAGCTTGTACCGCACCTGTATCCTGGACCGTGGGGATAAGTGTTGCGCGTTTGTTTGTTTGTTTAGTATAGGGTTTTACGGCGCTCGCAACTGCATTAGGTCATATGAGCGCGCGGGACACACCTAATACTTTTTCGTTGGTAGGAAATTTTGAATTTTGCCCGGGTGGCGGCCGAAGCCTACTCTTATCGATTTTAGACCACCAAGGGATCTTTAACGTGCGCAACTTGCACACGGACCCTCCGAGATTTTTCGCCCTTTGTTGCGCGTTGCGTGGGTGAAAAGTATTAAAGTTAAAGAGACTATCTAGAACTATACCCCATTTTACATACTACTTGTAATTTAGTATTTTTTCTCGTGCTAATGGGAAGAACTTTGCATCTGCACCTGAGTAAAAGACATTTTTAGACTAGGCATTTTTTTTCTTTCTTGCTTTGGATTATCATACCTGGCCATTGGGCGTGTGTGACATCGTCCACATAATATACACATACACAGTCATTCTTTCGCACTGAATAACAACACAAAAATGCGTCTCAAATCCTGAAAATTTTTATTTTGACTTTCCAGGTGCATAAATTTTTATTTGTAGTAAATGAAAATGTCTATTAATGTACAAGACCTGCTACACATCTGATACAAGATATGACATATTGATGATTAAAAGAAGCGAACTTTAAAAAAAAAATTCTCATGGCTTTTTTCAATATGCATGGAGAGGCAGGCTAGTATGAAGTATACAGTTCCACAGCCTTAGCTTATCCAGCTGTGAAATTCAAGAATAAACATGAGCAGTTCAGACAGAAATTCACATTGTTACTGTTATAAACTGTATCTGCCAGACACCTTTTCTAATCCTGGTATTCTACTACACATACTTCAAGACACAGGTGGATGCGAGTAAATTGTCTTCAAATGAGATGACTGACAGTTTTTTTAGAACTTTCTTCTAAATATTTATGGTGTTCACTGGTTCTCCCAATCAGCTTACAATATGATATAGAAACCACAAAAAAAAGGGTTGTGACACTGATTCTGAAATCCCCATTACAATTTGCACTGAAAGGGGAGAACAATTGCTTCTGTCAAACAAAGGTGGTTTTTTCCCCAGATTGGAACACTTCAGGTATTATTTTTAACTGACCTATATATCTTAAATACTATTTTTTTTCAAGATCTGTGGGGGGAAAGTTCTAAAGCCTTATAGCTTTTAAAAGGAGAGCAATAACATTTAACAGCATTTGAACAGGGATCTCTAAATTCTTATAACCTGTCTTAACAAAATTTCTGAATCAAGGTAAGATTTGCCTTACCTAAATCCCTTCCAATATAAAAATTTTGCACGCCTGTTTTTCCTTTTAGTTTGCTCAAATTTGTAAAATAAGAAAACAGAACATGGCTTGTCAATTTTTATTGAAATAACTACCATGCCAGAAAAATCTGAATCTGTAAAAAGAAGTTTAAAAACAATGAAACATTGAGGCCAGGTTAGTTAAACATGACATCCATTACTTGTAATCAAAGTAGTAGTGTACAAAACTGACGAAGACTGTTCTCACTGCATTTCGATGCTCTGAGTTGTAAAGTGGCCAACTCTGGTAAACACATTTTACGGGCCACAGAAAAGACTGACTTGTCTCTTTACTACCTCTGTGGTGTAGAGGAATTCGAAAAGTTTGGGGAGGGGGGTTTTAGCTACCAGGAAAAAACAAAATAACATGACATTGTTGAGCATTTTTCAGCATAATTTTGTTGTCCGAAATTGGGCTTAGGCTCTATAACTATCTAATTTTCATAGCCATGAAGTAGCTGTACCAGCCAAGAAAAAATCCCCCTCAAGCAGGAGATATAATCAATATCGAGATAGATATAGATATCTGGAAGCTAGTTTGTACAGACAATGGCTTTAATTTTTCAAACTGGGAATTATTTTTTTTATGCCCTTACTCATGTCAATAACGGTAATAATACTATATACTAATGAGTTTCACATTCTGCTTTTGGAGTGGGCAGGCTCAGCTGAGTTTCTGTGCTATATTTTTTGTCGAAAAGTGGCCAAAATTCCACGAACAAGAGTTTCGGCTTTGTACAAGTACAAGAGAAATCATAATTTACTTTATTTACCATCTCTCTCATTGACAAACTCTTTCTTCTTACTTATCATATTCTTTTATACTTTTTCATATCATGTACTAATCACTTATACAGTAGAAAAAGGACAACCCTTCTACTTCTTGTA